CCGCTGCTCATCCTCAAGCACATCATCCTCCTCAGCTGCCTTCTTCAGCTTGAAGCCTGCAGGGAACGGTGTCATCACAGTGCGACCCCCAGTCACACCATAGCGCTTCATGACACCAGAGATGTAGTGTGACTAATGCACCTTCAGCCACTTCCTCTCGACACCCCTCTCAATCTGCAGCCTCAAGTAGTAGTGGAAATCCCCCAGCATCTTGCATTTGAAGTTGTCCATCAGCAGCTTCTGTGTCCTCTCAATCTGCTCCATGGAAGGTGAGAACAACAGTATGTCGTCGACATACACCAGCAGCAAAAGCAGCTACTCCCCCTCTCCAAGCAGAAACAAGCTGTGATCCGCTTGGGATGTCTTGAAGCCTCCACTCAGCAGCACCTCCTCCAGCTTCTCGTACCAGCACCTGGGCGCTTGCTTAAGGCCATAGATAGCCTTCTTGAGCTTGCACACCCGGCTGGTTCCATCCTCATAGCCGTCGGGCTGCGCCATGTAGATATCCTCCAACAGTATTCCATTGAGAAATGCAGTGGTGATATCCATCTGCTTGACGTGCCATCCCTTCACAGCGGCGCCAGCCAGCACAGTCCTCAATGTCACTGGCTTAACAACGGGAGCGAAGATCTCCCCGAAGTCGACCTTCTCTTTCTGCTGAAACCCGTTGGCGACCAAGCGGCTCTTGAACCGCTCCAACGCACCATCAGCTCCACTCTTCACCTTGAAGACCCACTTGCTGCTGATCGGCCATCGCCCCTCGGGTAACTCAACAAGCTCCCAAGTCTCATTCTCAATGAGACTGTTGAACTCCGCATCCATGGCAGCCTTCCACTCCTCCTTCTGGGGTCCACTGAGTGCCTCCTCCACTGTGGCTGGTTCTCCAGGCAAGGGTGTGAAAAAACAGAAGGCCATCTCCTCATCCTCTCCTTCATCCACCTGAACCGCCATGGCACCTTGCTTGGGTCCTCCCAAACGGCTATATTTCAGCCTTGAGGGTGCTGCTGCCACTCTCTTCTCGCGGGTTGCAATCTGCTGCCCATGTGGTGAAGCTCCTCTCTGCACACTCCTCTTGGTGACCTTGGCGGTTGCAGCAGGCTCGGGCTAAGATGGTGAGTCCACACGTGCTGACTCATCCTCCAACCCCTCCTCTGCAGCAAGACCAGAAACTTGCTGCTCTCCACCGCCACTGTGGTCACTGGTCAGCTCTGACCCAGGGAGATCCTCAAGGTGCAGCTGAACCTCCTCCATTGCAGACCGCTCAATCTCCTGCAGACGCAAGCCAATCTGCACCTGCTGCTGCTGCTGCCAGTCCTTGTACATGACGTCCTCCACAAACTTGACGTCACGGCTGACCAGCGTCCTCTTGCTCTTGGGATCCCACATCAACCACCCCTTCGAGTCAGGAGCCATCCCAAGATGGACAGCCCACACAGCAGCAACTTCCAGCTTGTGCCTCTGCTCCTTAGGCACCATCACAAGCCCCATGCAGCCCCACACCCGCAGCATGTCAATGGATGGCTTCTTCCCAAGCCAACGTTCGTACGGCCCCCAATGCTTGTCGCCAACATGTGTCAAGACCCTGTTCTTGACCGTGATGACATGGCGAACAGCTTCAGGCCAGAACTTGTAGGGCATCCCAGCAGCCCCCAACAAGGTCTTAGCCGCCTCGCCAATGGTCCGGTTGGCACGCTCAGCAATGCCGTTCTGCTGCGGTGTTCCTGGGCAGGTCAGCTGGTGTTAAATGCCGTTCTTGTTGAGAAACTTGGTGAATTCCATTCCAAGGAACTCTCCACCTCGGTCACTCCTCAGCACCTTCACCAGCCGCATCGCTTGCCGCTCCACCATCGGCAACCAATCCTCCTTGATCGCCGCTACAGCATCGCTCTTCTTGGACAGGGGACGTGCCCATGTGAAACGGCTCCATTCGTCCACCATGGTGAGGAAGTACAGCACTCCCCTAGTCCCCTCAGTCCTCATAGGACCCACCAGGTCCATGTGCACCACCTCCAAGGGTGCCTTCGCCGATCCCTCCGCACGTGAAAACGGGAACCGCGCAAACTTGTTTTGCATGCACGCCTCGCAGCTGCCATAGTGAGCGCCATCTCTTTGCAGTTGCAGCCCATGCACACACTTCTCCTTGTGCATCACCTCCAATGTGGAAACAGCCACGTGTGCGAGCCGCCGATGCCAAGTCTCCCAATCCGCTTGGCCCGAGGTAGCCGACGCCTTCACCGCCGCGCTTCCTTCAATCAGCTCCTCTCCTTGCACACCTTGCTGCTCCTCCTCGGTGACACTCTCCTCCATAGATGCCGCCGCTGCCGCCTTGCCCGATTTCCGCCAAGGGAGTACCGGGATCTGCCACATCCGCTTGTGGACATCCCCTTTCCACTGCAGGTCCCAAATCAGCCGCTCATCGTTGTAGGCACGATAGCGCTCCGAGCCAATCGTCTCGGTGTTCACACCCGCATCTCCCAACCGGCCGGTAGAAATCAGGTTGGCGCACAAGTCTGGCACCCACAGCACGTTCTTCAGCCCCACGAGCTCTCCATCCGCTCCCATGAACTTGGCGCATCCCATGCCCATGACCTTGGCCTTGGCGCCCGTCGCGGATGTGACTGTAGAGATGGGTGCGGGCTGAATCTCATCGAGTAGGTCCGCACGAGGAGTCATGTGCCAAGAGCTCCCGGAATCTATCACCCAATGGGTGAGGGGATGTAGGAGAACCTTGGCAGCCATAGCAAGGTCGGTTGCGCCTTCGTTCACGAAGAAGAACCCGGCCTTCCGCTCCTCAGATTTGCCACCTTTCTCCTCATCCTTCTCCTCTCCACTAGCTCCCATGACTCCCCCACTCCTCTTGCCACCATGCAGGTTGCTCGATGAAGGCGGGGTCCAATCCTTGGGTCGTTGGTAGCACTTCCGCCAACGATGTCCGCGCTTCTTGCAGTAGAAGCACACCTCCCCTTGACCCCGCCGGCATCCTTCTTAGGGTAGTCCTTGTTCTTGCCCTTCCACTTCTTTTTGAAGCCACTCTTTCCACATCCAACTCCATAGCCAGCTCCATCCTCCGAGCGCTCCACACTCCGCCGCCGCAAGTCCTCAAGGATGCGCGCGCGAATGTAATCCACGCTCCACTGGGGCTGTTGAGAGTTAAGGTTGATCGCTAGGGCAGACCACGACTCCGGCAGCCGTATCACGATCTCCACGCATTGCACGAGCTCCGGGTACACCACACCGCCGCCTTGGAGCTTCGTGAACATGTCCCGCATCTCATCCAACACCGGTTGCATCGGCTCTCCATCAACGAACTTGATGTCGCGCAGCCGCCGCGCGAGTAGCACGATGCCGGTAGCATGTGTCGGTGAGTGCACATCCAGAAGCTTCCTCCAAGCCTTGGGGCCACACTCTGGATCACCTAAGAGGTACTTGATGTGGTCAAGTTGTCGTCCGCCAACCGCTTGCACCATGAGCATGTACGCGTCGAACGATCGCTTCATCCATGCTCCTTTCAGCTCCGCGGCCTCCGGCATCTTCTCCTTCCCCTCCACCAGATCCAATAGCTTGTATTGGGTATACATCAGCCTCATGCGGAAACTCCAGTGCTCGTAGTCCTCCCCCATGAATTTCTTAATAGAGAAAGCTTTCACTGGATCCACGGTAGTAGGAGATGGTGTAGAAGAAGTAGGTAGCGTAGAATTGGCTGGTTGGTGAGTCCCCACTCCACCACCAGCAACTCCCCCCTGCTCTCCAGCCTCTCTAGCTCCAGCCATCTCGCCATTAGCACCTCTAGAGTCCGTTCCAGTCATATTGAGGCCTTATGAACGGTGGAAACTTGAGAAATCGTTTGGAGAGAATTCTGCCTGATGTTTCGATTCTACGAAAAACGCCGTCGCGGACTGGATACTTCGACTTAGAACGTGGTTCGACCACCAATCGAAAGTTCGCAAGCAGAGCTACTAGAAACTGGTCTCACTTGTCAACATTGGTTGAGAAGTCACGACGATTCGTCATCTCAAAGTCGACTACCCGCTCTGATACCACTTGTTGTTCAGGATCCGTCACTTTGATAGCTTACGACGAACTCAATTCTCAATTAAACGCAAATCCGCTTGGTAGGATTGTGCGCCTTAGCCTAAGCTACCATCTCCAAGTTGAATCAGTCGTTAAGATGGCCTACAGAGTGAGAATCAAGTAAAAACGTCCAGCAGCCGCATAACTAGAATGGTAGAGGAAGTACAAACATTAAGGCATGGAATGTTGGAGTTGGGGACTCCAAGAGAACCATGAGAGAGAAGGGGTTCTCCAAGAGCTTGGGAAGGATGGTAGGAACCTTCCTAGCAGCAAGGATGCAACCCTCATCATGAGGTCCTTGAGGTGTCACATGTAAAATCCAATCTAGTTGGATTTTGCCTAGGTGTTGCAACATTTGCAACCCATGCTAGAAACTTCTAGCCACCCCAATCCAAAAGTCAAAGTTGCATTCCGTAACCATCCAAACAAAGATCCCTTTATAGTCATGTCCTAAGTAATCACCCAAATTAGATATAACCTTAAAAGGTAATAAAAAATCCAAGTCTTGGAAATCTTGTAACTTGGGCGATCTTGGTCGGAATAAGGCGATCTTGGTATCGTTGGAAAGCTCTGGATTTCTCCTGCATGATCAAGCATTTAAACTTGGAGAAAACACAGAGATGGTAAAATCCAACAGCCATGCACAATGACAAATGCTCATGCAAACAATGCACGCATGAATAGCACTCGGCAGGACGTTAGGATGACATGCACTCAGAATGACGTGCATCCAACACTAGAGTGGCGCCATATATTCTGGTCGGGAATATACAGATTTCCAATTTGTGCAAGCAAAGACCAGGGAAACAATACTCTAGTGTGGGTGTGGAGGCTTTGCATTCTGTTCTGTTTGTCTTCTCGGTCTACTCCTTCTTTCCCGGCATCGTTTTTCCCTATGTGCCCATTGTCTTCCTCTCCAGATTCTGCAAATGGCTGACAAGAACCACCCCAACATTGTGCGACTGTTGGGGTTTGTGGTTGGAGGGGACATGAGGACACGGCCAGAGCAAATCTTGATCTACGAGTTTGTGCCCAACGGTGACCTTGACAAGTGGATAGGACCAAGTAAGTGTGCAAGTCAAGTTATTCCTTTCAATTAGATGTACGGGAGTGTAAACGGGGTTGAGAAAAACACTTACCTGCCGATGAGGGCTGGCCATTTAGTCGGGCACCTGCTACTTGTTTCCTACCAGGTCCCCAGGATAGGCATTGATTTCAGCTGGTCATATGGTGTTGTAGAATGGTTTATTATTGCTTCTTGCCTTGCTGCTCATGCGAGGCCACTCATGCTGTCTGGTGTGTGTTGCAATACTCATCGTGTGGCTCCTTCCAGAAGCACCTGCTCCTCTGAGTCTGAAGCAACGGCTGGACATTCTGATCGGCATTGCACGTGGTTTTGAGTACCTCCACAGCTTCGGCATTGTGCACCGTGACATCAAACCCGCCAACATCCTCATCACCGATGACATGCAGGCAAGCACGGCTGCAAATGGATGCACGGCAAGCTTAGGGCGCGTCCCCTCCCTCGACCGATCGCGAAATCGCCGTCACAAACCGATCGGGCACACCGATCGCAGGATCGGGGCAAGATTGTAAGGAGGTGACAGCATATCTGCGATCGCGGGTCAATTTCGAGCCCAGAGTGACAGGATCGAGAGTGCAGCGGGGAAAAACCCATCGATCGTCAAAAGGCCCAGATCGGTGTGGGCACGAAAGCACATCGATCGTCATCGGGGGATGTGACAAGATCGTCAGGCACCATTTGCTGTACATTCGCAAGCCATCTCGAAAACAAGTTACCCTGTAAATTTTGATGCTACAGTTGCACTGTAGAAGTCCCTCGATCGAGGGAGGGGACCTGCCCTTAGCTGAATCAGTGTCACCAAATATCTGTCTCGCTCATTTTCAGTCACACTCCTCGTGTCTCTTGTCTATAAGCAATGCCGGTTTATGTTGTTGTTTTTTTTCCTTCTTCCTTGTTATCATCTGACCACTCGCCAGGCCAAGATTGCAGACTTTGGGCTGTTGAGGATGGGAGAGGGCACGACAGTGGGCACGACCCGAATCATGTGAACTCCGGGCTATGTGGATCCAGTCTACTTGAGGACGTCAAAGGCCACCGCAGCCAGCGATGTCTACAGGTGAGCTAAGAATCATATTGAGATCGTTCCATCTGAGCGAGAAGACTCTGGGAGATGAATAGTCTAGAGATTGCAATGTATTCATCTAAGCAGACTCTGGTCTGGGAGGCGCCATGTAGCCCAGGAACATCAAAAGGAGTGTTCTTAGAAGAGTGAGTCAAGGGGGGTGTTTATAACAGGGGGGTCGGGTGCCGTCCCGCCCCTCGCGTGCTCCGCTAGGCGCGGCATCGGAAAAAATATGATGCGAGGAAAATCCTGCAGGTGCAAGTCGGGAATCGGCGGGATGGGGACTGCTTTTTCCCAGAAGAATCTAGGAGATGCCCTCATGAAGATTTCTAAGAGTTGTCTAAAAATTGTCACATACCACGTCTGCTTTGGCTTGTACAGTTAGCATTTGGAATATCTCTAGCATGGAACAAACAGGTCTTGGAACTTGGGTGCTTGCCCAACCCATCCAGCCTATTTAGTCTGATACCCAATATCCGTCTCTTCCTTGCGTAACTTCTCCTCGTGGTCTGAGCTTATGAGCCATGTTCTGTTGCACACCTTCCAGCTCACCATTGGTTTTCTCGCACCTTCTCTTGCATGTTGCAGCTTTGCTGTGCTCATGCTTGTGGTGCTCACTGGACGCCCTCCACTCTCTGAGGATGCCGGGGACACCAAGCAGATCATGTTATGGGTAAGTTCTCCGTGGACGGGTTCTTGTGTGTTGCCATGATCCCATTCTCTCAATTCAAGTGAACGAAACTGCATTAATGGCCAACTGATATGTGTTTCACGTCTTCACACTTAATGCAACTATTCATTCCCCTCCACTCCATCAGGCATCTAAGTGCCTGTCTTCGGGTGACTTGGGGAGCCTCAAGCACCCCACCATGGACGCCCCTGAAGATGCTGTGCTGCGCTTGACTGAGCTGGCAGTCAGCTGCACCGTGGAGCGCACTGCAAGCCGCCCAAGCATGGCACACATTGCCAATGAGCTTCAGGCTGCCAGGGAGGAGGTGGTGGGGAAAGACGAGCTGAGCGCTGCCGTTAAGGTGGATGCGCAGGTCCAAAAGATGAAAGATTCTTTTGCGGTTATGGAAAGTCTGGAGGCACAACTCCGAAGGATTGGGAATAACAGTGGCTTCATTAACGAACACCCAGTCTAGAATCGGAATGGGGATATCACGGATGGAGTTTCACTTAAGGCTTCCTCTGGGACACTTTTGCAATGTTTCCATCATCCTAGGTCCGTATTGTCTTGGAGAGCCGAGCGAGTGTCCTATCATTTATAGCGGCAGTACATCTTAGAATGTAGGACAGCGGAATGGTGTGATTAGCGAGCATGGGTGATACAAGTATGTACCTTAAGAGTGTTATTCCCCCTACAAGATATTTGATTACCGCCTACAACAACAAATGTATAGTTTGACACACCCCCATAGGCTTAGTGAGGGGGGACAAGAGAGCAACAAATACAAATGGTCACAACACCAGTAAAGAGAAGCAACAACACAAAGCTCAAAGTGAATCACGAAGTCACCACTCGGTATGAGCACAAGCAAGCGGCCAGAGGTGCTGCTGGTGCTGGAGGTGTCGGAGCTACAAGTCCTAGAGGTGCTACTATTGCTGCAGGTGCTGGACCTACTAGTCCTGGAGGTCCAGCTAGTGCTGGAGGTACTGCTGGTGCTAGAGGCGCTGGAGCTGGAGGTACTGGAGGTGCTGGAGCTGCTGGTCCTGGAGGTGCTCGTACTGGAGGTGCTGGAGCTGCCGGAGCTGGTGGTGCTGTTTGAGCTGGAGGTCCTACTGGAGCTGCTAGCACTGGAGGTACTGGAGGTGCTGCTGGTGCTGGAGCTGCCAGAGCAGGTGGCACTGCTGGTGCTCGAGGTGCTGGAGGTGCTACTGGAGCTGCTGGCACTGGAGGTGCTGGAAGTGCTACTGGTGCTAGAGGTCCCCACGCTGCCAGAGCTAGTGGTGCTGCTGGTGCTGGAGGTGCTACTAGAGCTGCTAGAGCTGCTGGTGCTGGAGAAGCTGGAGCTGCTGGTACTACCCTGCGCATACCGTTTTTCTACCCGCAGCTGCAGTCATCCCTTTCGCCGCATGACTCGGTCCTTCGCCAGGTTCTTAGTCTCCCATCTTCCACTGGCCTCCCTCTACCCAACCTGTGTCCACCGACAGACCAGACTCAGCCACAACTACTGCCTGGCTCCCCGCTGTGTGCGCCTGCTCCTCACACTGAGGTGACTGAGTCCCTGAATGGGCGTCGTGAGCCTGAGACTCGTGCTTCCACACCTGTTCGTGCTCGTCGTGTCGCCCGTCCACGTCCTCTTGCTGTCCCAGGCACTCACGGTATGGCACTTCGTCCTTCCTCTGTTCCACAACGTGTTGTCCTGCCTGAGCCTCCCGCGTCCTCTCGTCCGCACGTTCCTGACCCTGAGTCCAACCTTGCTCATGCTGCCAGTCCTATTGTCACTCGTCTCCTCGCTACTGTTGTCACTGACCCTGACCTTCAGTCTACTGCAGCGTTTGCCCTGTGCACTGAAATAGTCGACTTTGCAGCTAGGAGTTGTCTCAACTGCTTCACAAGTCTTGTCACTGAGTATGAGTCTGTCTGTCCTTCGTCCGTCGGGGGTGAGCTTGCCCTTGGCAGTGATGTACTTGAGGATAGACAGTTTGAGCTTGAGTGTCTTGCGGCCACTTTACCATGTTTCGCATCCATGCTGCTTTTCCCTGAGGGAGATCCGGATGCACTTGACATCCCTACCCCACGCTCTTACGCTGAGGCGATCGCGGGTGAGTACTCCTCTTAGTGGCAGACAGCCATGGACGCAGAGATGGCTTCCTGGAAGTCCACAGGCACCTACATCGACGAGGTTCCTCCTCCTGGGGCGAACATAGTCGATGGCATGTGGATTTTTAGAGTGAAGCGGCTGCCGGGTTCTCCGCCTGCCTTGAAGGCGCGTTACGTTGCTCGAGGCTTCAGTCAGCGACAGGGGGTCGACTTCTTCCAGACCTTCTCCCCCACCCCGAATATGACTACTCTTTGGGTGCTGCTGCACGTTGCAGCACTGCGTGACTACGAGCTGCACTCCCTCGACTTCTCCACAGCTTTCCTGCAGGGCAGCCTTCACGAGGAGATCTGGCTGCGCCGCCCACCCGGCTTCACTGGGTCGTTTCGTGCAGGTACTCAGTGGAGCCTCCGGCGGCCAGTCTACGGTCTCCGCCGGGCGCCCCGAGAGTGGCACGACACGCTGAGGACTACATTTATGGCTCTTGGGTTTGCTCCTTCCTCTGCTGACCCATCGCTGTTTCTACGCACCGACACTACCCTGCCGCCGTTCTACGTTCTAGTGTACGTCGACGACTTGGTTTTTGATACTGCTGACACTGAGGCGCTGGCCCTAGTGAAGGCGGAGCTGCAGGAGAGATACAGCTGCACTGACCTGGGTGAGCCGTGTAGCTATCTTGGCTTGCAGATCACCCGGGACAGAGCACGGCGCACCATCACCCTGACTCAGTCACACATGGTGCACCAGGTCCTTCAGCGCTTCGCCTTCCAGTTCTCCTCGCCACAGCCCACTCCTCTGTCTACCGGCCACTCGCTCTGAGCTCCACCTTCGGATGAGTCCGTAGAGCCAAGTGGTCCGTACCCAGAGCTTGTGGGTTGCCTCATGTACCTGATGACGTGCACACGACCTGACCTCGCGTACCCTCTCAGCCTCCTGGCTCGCTATATGGCTCCCGGTAGACACCGAAAGGTGCACTGGGATGTTGCGAAGAGGGTACTGCATTACTTGTGCAGTACATCGGGCATGGGGCTAGTGCTTGGAGGACAGGGTTCAGTGGTACTCACAGGACACTCCGACGCTTCTTGGGCCGACGACCAGGCGACTCAGCATTCTTCACAGGGTTACACCTTCAGTCTTGGCTCTGGTTCTATCTCGTGGAGGTCCACTTGTTCTTCTTCTGTGCTTAGTTCCAGCTGTGAGGCCGAGATCTACGCTGGGGCCATGGCTGCACAGGAACTCCGCTGGCTGACCTACCTGCTGACCGACTTGGGGGAGCGGCCTCGTTCTCCTCTAGTTCTGTACGTCGACAACAAGGCAATGCTTGCCTTGTGTCACGAGCAAAGACTGGAGCACAGAACGAAGCACATTGATCTTCCCTACTTCCTTGCGCGTGAGCTGCAGCAGCGTCGCCAGCTCCGCCTTGCCTACATGGCATCGTGGGTCAACACTGCTGATGTGTTCACCAAGGCCCTTGGGTCTGGTGATCATCAGCGTTTCTGCACTGCTCTTGGGCTTGTGCCCACTCTGCCTCACCTGTTGGTTGCTTGACTTGCTCCTGTTGTACAGTGATATTTATATTTATTCTTGCTTGTTTACTCTTGCTAGGTTGTGATCAGTGTACTGCCTTGCTATTATAACTCTGCATGTGAACTAGCCTTGTGGCCGCTTGCTTGTGCTCAGATTGTGTGGTGTCCTTGAGATCCACCCTGAGATTTGTTTTGCTTTGCTTTTGCTCTGTTGTCTTCCTTGACTTGTCTTGTGACCATCTTGTTGTCCCCCACTTAGCCTATGGGGGTGTGTCAAAGTACAATCTTACTTGTAGGCCATAGTGAGGCACTCCTTATGGGGTACAGCACTTCTAGGGCTAGTAATTGTACCCCAACCCTTGCTAATCCAATCATTCCTGCACAGTTCTCTTGATAGATGTCTTCAGTGTTGACCGTAGAGGCCACCAAGTCCAAGCGTGCCTGGCCGCGTCGCTGCAGCTCTCGCAGTAGAAAGTACCTCACATCGATGTGCTTCACTATGCCCTCCAGTAGAGGCTTTGGACACTAGAGGATCATTGCCTTGTTGTCAGCGAACAAGCTCGGTGCAGACTGAGGCCGCTTACCAAGGTCAGTGAGCAAGAAAGTCAACCAAGAAAGCTCCTGCGCAGCCATGGCACCGGCATAGATCCCTGCCTCTTCGCTTGACTATGCCACAGACGACGACCGAGTAGACCTCCACGACAAAGCTCCATCGCCCAAGCTGAAGCAGTACCCGTAAGTAGACCTCTGTGTCTGCACATCGTCAGCGTAGGAAGAGTCGCAGGCAGTTCTGTGAACAAGACGATGTCTCCCAGTCGCAACAAAGCAAAATTGGACAATGAGGGGACAGGCGAGTTCAGTGCACGTGTGTCACTTTTGTAGCGTGGATTTCACCTCTGCAAGAGCCACCCTGTCTGGTGTAGCGAAGACCAGGTCGTAGACATAGACAAGAACGAAGAATGGAGTGGAACCAGTGCGAACAAAAAGCGACAGGGCGGTGATCGAAGGACGGAACCCGAGGTAAGCAAGAGTGGTGCGTAGCATGTCGTGCCACTCACGGGGTTCTTGGCGGAGACCGTAGACTGGTCGCCTTAGGCTCCACAGGGTCCTAGGCGGGAAAGTGCCAGTGAAGCCAGGAGTAGGGAGCAGCCAGATCTCCTCGTGTAGGCGGCCTTGGAAAAAATGCAGTGGAGAAGTCGAGGGAGTGAAGCTTGTAGTCTTGCTCTGGTGCAACGTGAAGTAATGAAGAATAGTCATCTTCAGGGTCGAGGCGAAGGTCTGGAAGAAGTCAAATCCTTCACGCTTACTGAAGCCGCTAGCTACGTAGCGCACCTTGAAGACATGTGGTGATCCAGGCGGCTGCTTCACCTTGAAGATCCACATGCCTTCGACTATGTTTGCTCCAGGCGGGGGAACTGCGTCGACATAAGTGCATGTGGATCTCAAAGACGCCATCTATGAGTCCATGGATCTCCATGCTAATGCGACTGCTTCATACACAATAAAGCAGCGGCAGCGGTCCCAGCAACAGCAGCCACAGGGACAGCTGCAGCAGCAGCAAGTTCAGCAGCGGGTACAGCAGCAGCCTCAACAGTGGGGACTTGGTGGACCAGGGACTGCTAGTCGTTGCGATGGTCCGCCAAGCTCGGCGTCGCATGGTTTCACTTCGCCTCCTTGCCCATACATTGTTCAAACCAGCACTCGTGGGGGTCAGCGCTGTGGCCGTTTTCGCACTCAGGATCAGTGCTTTGCGCAGCTCACGGACCGCGCCCACGCCTAGTATGGCTTTGTCCCCTCTCCGGACTGGGTCCCGCTTGTTCGCTCTCGTGGTCTTGCTTATGTTGGACATAACTGCGGTAGAGTAAGTTGATGCCTTGGGATCTGCTTATGTGATGTATGCAGATGTTGACTATAGTGCTGTTGGATTTGTTTGATCACGTGTTCATAGCTTAGAACACTTGCCTGTTGCTAGTATATGTGCTTGTACTTCCAGTCTAGGTAGT